TGCTGAGTGTTTTAGCTAAAACTGCTACGTGGCTCAGTCAAAACTTGTGGGCAGCTATCGTCGCCGTAGCTGGTTTGGTGTACGTAGCGGCTAAGGAATTTTTAACCAAATAATACCCAAAGCCACCCCTCCAACCACCATTGCTGTTTTATTATCGATGTGCTGCTGATTGGACGCCTGAACGTGTGGAGCCACCCCCCCCACAGGGGCTGTTGGTTGAACCCTAGGCTCCGGGGGTGGTGTGACTATACCCGTTTCACCGGTCGTGGATGGTGGGACGTGTGGGATGTTGACATCTAGGTTGACGCCCAACTTTTGGTCCGACGTGGCTACAATTATTTCGTTGTTGTAGCCCACCACTTTCTTTATTCTAAGTTGCATATCGCTCGGAGCCATGTACAGTCCCACGTCGAACACGTAGTCGACTTTCGACCTGGCATACTCCAACACGTCTTGGTAGCGTTTGATAGCACTCGGTAGATCAACTGGAGCATTGATAGCATCCTCTACGTTGACAACGAATTGTTTCTGTGCGTCGTAAGCAGTCCCTTTGCCTAGGATATTTGAACTCGTTTGCGTCTTCGCACCCAACAGTGCCCACACGTACGTTCGAATCGAATCATTCAAGCGTTCGGTGCCGGCACGAGTATATCCTTTCGATTCCAACATGAATTTTTTCCAGTCACCACCCTGCTCGAACCTCCAAACTCGGTAATCCTTGCTGTCGTCGAATGCCATATAACGGTCATCCCACTCGTTGGTTGTGATATGATGATACGACTTATATCCCCAATCTTGCAACTTCTCGCTGGCTTCCACGAGAGGCATGTTGTGAACGATAGGAATACCCAATCCGTGGTTCGGTCCAGGCAAACGCCAATCCGTTTTAGTGTCGATTCCGAATTCGTTGCAAATACGTTCGTAGGCCCGTCTATCGTACTGGTTGTTTACTGCATTCCACGCTTTTTCCTGTGAGAGCGGAGCGCTGATCTCTTTAAGGATACGTCTGACCTGGTAGTACACGTGAAACGTGAACACAGACTGACTCAGCGGTCCACGCCGAGTGTCGGTCAATGTCACACCACACCCCGTTGTAGCGCACCACACTGCGAAGTTGAGTTGATTCTGCCAGAACTGCATCGGATTGTTCAACCAAGCGTGCACTGTCTTAGCGTTAGTCACCGAAAACTTATACTTATCGAATACATCTATGAACTGGGCGTCGAAATACAGCCCATCAGCGACCACGATCTTCATGTTTTAAAACTATTATATAATGAGTTTATATAACATGTACATAACACTCCCAGGAATAACTAGCGGCGAGGACGTTCAGCTGACGCACGCGATCGATAACACGTTGGGTCAACTCGAGGTAGCACTGTGCGATATAACCTACCTACCGCGATGGACTAACATCAACGCTAGCAACAATAAACTGTTCGTCGGTGGTAATCGCAACCAGATAATTGACGGTTACTACAGCGTGTGCTCTCTAAGCGACGAGGTATTTAAACCACTGGGAGCCGAACTCAAGATGAACGACTCAAACGGCACAGTGGTGTTAATCAACAACGGAAGAAACTCCTTGAAGCTCGGCCGAACATTGGCGAGAACACTCAGTATGCCGCCTGACGAGGTAAAACCAACGACTACAGTCACAGGCGCGAAGTTACCCGACTTACTACCGTACCGAGAGCTGTGCATTCATCTCAACCAGGTTAGCACAATGGACAATATTCAAGGAGGCCAACCTTCCACTATACTTAGAGCAGTGCCGGTTAAAACGGAGAAATACAACGACGGTAGAACCGAGTCGTTTTCAACGTGGCAATATAAGAGGTTAACCCAAGGTAATATCCCTGAATTGATAATATCGGTGTTAGATATAAATCATAATCTCGTGAATATAGGATACCTCAGCGTAACACTGCACATAAAATGACCAGCGCACAAGGTCCTGGAATGAAGTTGAAAAAATGCATCAATGTGGGGATCTCCGACCTCGGGGACACACGCGGATTCGACGACCCCGGAATAGATGGTAAAGTGTACGCCTTGCAACTAAAAAACAGCATTTACAAACGCGTTGAAGTCCCCTCCGGTGGTACTAGCAATCTAAGCGATATAGTAGATACCTCAAGAGCGGTAGTCAACACTAAGTACACCCTTGTCAACACCGGTGATGACTGGATAATATACCCATCGTTCGGAGGTAAACTGTTCGATTTAGACGATGTTGAGAGCAACGTGACGGCTATCACAAAAAATAAACCATATACACTCGTCTTCACCGACGATGACAAGTGGGTGTTATTACCCGATAAAGCTGACTGGATTCTCAATATTAAGCTCGGCTCCCCCTACGTGTTCACGGATAATAAAGACAACTACCTAAACAAAGTCGTTAACAACGGAACCCTGCTAGTGGCTTACGTTCCGGCTCAGAGGCGTAGCGTAATCATCAGTCCAGTCGCCAGTACACCATCCCACATGCTATCGAGTAAACCGAGCATGCAAAACGTTGTATTGCAGTTGGTGTCTGAATTCGAAGGCGTGATCAAGATCCTGGAGAGTATACCGGCGAACTCAACACTTATCATCCAAGTCTACCTAGGGAACCATCGCGGAATGATGAGATCGTGAAGGGGTCAAACTCCGGGGGAAACAACAACAGTATCACGTTTGTAACGTTTACGTGCGGGTGGGTGTCAACTCCAAAACCAGTCTGCAGGAGTCAGCGTGATCGGAAGACGTGATATCACTAACCAAGATATTCCTACCCGACAATATACACTTCATGGGGGTGCACTTCACCCCGGAACTATTATCGAAAACCAGTTGGAAATTATATCGTAATAGTATTATAGTAATGTCTTGGTTTCGACCCAACACTACTCTTAACGACTTAGGGGGGATTCGATCAACTTGTACATCCTACACTTGAAAGACAACGTGTATAGGCGGGCAGGCAATGACTGATCATCTACCCAAACCCACACTCAGGGGCTTAGGAGACATAGATGGATTCGATAAGCGTGGGCATAACAAAACTCATGGAACTATTATTTAACAACGGTGTGTACATACGGCAACCTAGTCTTAAAAGAACCCAAATGGGGATCAACGACCACAACCGCACCTTATATTTAGACAAAGATGGTTATGTCTCTGAAATTAGAAACAACGGTACCTTTCACGTCTTTCATTCCAACTGGAAGGATGATAGTTTCTAACTCTGAATATTGGCCTAGGGACACCCTGTTAATTTCAGCCGGGAAGTCCCAGTTAATAGCCACCCACCACCATCATTCCATAGTAGGGGTTAGGGCTATGGAACCAAACTCCACACCATCGTAGAAGTCGGTTACAAGGATAAGTTTGATTTGGATAACCCATCCCCAAACTGAACTTTTACCCGGTGTAACAATACGTTGAGATCAGGTTTCTTTTCTTGCACATTAGTGATACGATTGAGGACCAGGGATTGACCCCCATAATCTGCTATGATGTTGAGATAGACCAAAAGTTACCTATTGACCCTTCCCGTATCTACACATATGAGAATCTAAGTTTTATAAGCCTCAGGTACGTTGGCCAACTATTAACTGATGCCCAATTAAAATATCTTTTGTAATATATATTATAGGATGGGACTGTATCCAGGCATAGATGAAGTAGCGAAGACCCTGGAAACCGTAGACGTGTTTCGCTTGAGGCAGTTATGCGATGTAAAACGTCAATTAGAACAAGACCGCGATAAGCGGAAAGCACTTTATAAGAAGTACCATAGAGCTTTCAACATCGTGGATGGGACTGATACTACCCTTATGGCAACTAGCATGGGACTAGGGGCAGTAGGTGTTGGGTTGTTGACAACCATCGTAGCTGCACCCATAGTGTTGGGACTCGAAATAACGGCTGGGGTGTCAGGGTTGGCTGGATTGGTATTTAAATTTGTATCCCGTAGACTGCATCGTAAAGCATTGAAACACGATGAGATCAGGGTTCTGGCTGAAGCAAAGCTTAACACAATAGATGATCATATTTCCACCGCGCTCACAGACTCTAAAATCTCTGAGGAAGAGTTTCGTTTGGTGCTATCAGAAATCACAAAATATAACAAAATGAAACAAGAGATTCGATCCAAGTCTCGTAAAAGTACTACTATCAGTGAATCCGAGAAAAAAAAGTACATAGAACAGGGAGTACAAAAAGCCCGGCAAGCCTTTATAACGAACACCAAAAATATAACAGACGATTTACATTAAACTGTTTCATTGAGGTCAGTGTGACATAGATAAAGTTGACATCAAAGCAGACGAGCCTAACTTGTACTACTTGAGGGATGGGCCAGGGAGGGGGTTTGTAAGAGAAGAATTATTGATCGTACCGTACGGTACAGTGTTACCTCCTGTCAACACGGCATAGGGGGACATTTTGCTTGAAATTTTTATAGGTTGGGAAAGCAGTAGGGGTAATGGTAGCAAGAGCTAAGGGTCCGACCAAAGCCTTATTTGGGGAATAAGGCTTTGCAGAGGCTTTTGTTGGAAGTGATCCCGGACTGTCTTTCCCTATACTACTAGATTCATATTAACTAATATCATTACTACTTTCCTCAGATATGTGAGAGATTCCAAAGGCTTCATAGAAGTAACCCCAAGGAGCCCTACATCGCTGCTCGGAGCAATATTTCTCTTTAAAATAGTTTGGTATTTAGCAGAATGATGCCAAAGATTGAGTAATCGCATTCTCTGTAGTTTTGCTGGAGGACAAATGCTACTTTGTCAGCTCGGATCTTAAGAAGATAAAAAAAATTAATTATCGCTGAATTTTCTCCAAACGTAATGATAAGTTCCTTTTTGTAGACAATGCAATACAATGCAATGCATTGCAATGCAATAATAACATAGGAATAATCGATTTTGGAAAACAATCCAGTTCAAAACCCCTCTCTACGTGCTATGGCAGCAAATGGTTTTTGCACAAGTATTTCTTACCTGATCTTGTAACACTTTTGGCCTGCATGGTGATTGTGAAATAGCTCCTGTGTGACCAGTACCTTAGCTAGATGACTTCTGGAACAGGAGGAGTTTTCCCTGTAGTATTATCATAGTCACATGACCATTGGTCTCGCTCTGGGGTATCTAATCAGGCGCACTAACGTCACGTATTAGGTGACATCGATGACAGGTATTTTATCTTTTTCTCCAGGAGCAGTGTACAGCTGTCGAGGAACAGTGCAGAAATAGAGCTGATATGGCCCAATGTATAAGACTTTGAACGTTTTCTAAGCTAACACACACCTGTATATGTGATTATTTTCTTAATGCATTGGTTTTCTGATCCGCCGACCCTACATGTAATTATTCAAATAGCCATATCCTCCAATTTTTTCTTTGAGTTTACATTCCTGAAAAGTGTTTGAGGTGAGGTGAGGTGAAAATGGGTTTAACGTCGTGCTTGAGAATATTTCGCTCATATGACGACGTGCATGCGAGTGTGTATGTGTATGTGCGGCTGCTTGTACTAGCCCAGACTGAAGCTGGTTTTATAGTGCTAGCCCACTGAGATACCATGTCGCAGTGAAGCATGAATACCCTACTCAGACACATTATACTGACTCCGAGCCAACCAGTCCTTGTTGTACCCATTAATGCCGAGCGCCAGGCAGGGACCCAACAAGTACCATATTTTAACGTCTTTTGGTATGACGCGGTCGGGGATCGAACCCGCGACCTTCCGCTCTCCGGGCGGACGCTCTAACCACTACACCACGGAGGAGGTCGAAAAGTTTTTGATGAATGTTATCTTGCAACTTAGTAATCAAACAATGAAAACGAAACGAAATATTACTTTGAAACTTTAAAGGGGAAGTGTACATGAAACAAATCACGTTTTTTAATAAGTTTATTTTTAGTAGGATTTTTAGAATTATTTGATATCGGGGTTTGAAAATATATACTCATTTTTCTCACATTTGAAGTATACTGGAATAAAATAACTGAATTATTTCATGTTATGCTATTTTTTAATGCAAAAAGATAATAACAGGATTTGTGGAGTTTTCCTTAATCACTGTTTAACCGTTGACAGGATAATATCAAAATCTGTATGATTTGACACTAGGCAATTGTGACACGCCCTTTGAAGAGATGTGGTGTGAAAAATCAGTTCACAAATTGACATTTAAGTGATCTGAGCAGATCCGAAGAAACTGAATTGGGCCATCCGATTGGTGGAAAATATCATATATACAGGAAGATTTTGCCTGTTTGCTAATGGGCGCGAAATATGAACTTTACAATATTCCTCCTATTATGGTTGATGTACGGAACAGTAAATTGCTAAGAATAATTTTAATGGTTGTAAAAATGCATTCGATATTGATTCATTTTTAGAAAACTATATTTATAAATATTTAACTTCTAAAATAAATCTTACCAATTTACTGCTCAGATCACTTGAATGTCAAGGCCATCTATGGCCGATAAGTGAGTATGATTTCCGATGGTTTTGGAGAAAATACCTGCCTACTGTCGAGGAAATGATTTGTAGATATTGCAATAAGTCTTTAGACCCGTGGAATGACGCTGCCGATAGAATCCAGACCTACATAGGTGCTGTCAACGTAGCTGGAATTAATAAACGAATTAAATAGGTGAGGTTTCGCTACCCCTTCTTGAAAAAAACAATGCATCTTCATAGTGCAAATGTGTATGGATCTTGTGATAAATGTAGTGTGAACTGTGCAGACCTCCTGATCCATGTCCTAACATCGTGTGAAGCTTGTGCTGGCTGCAGAGAGCAACTCTGGTGTGACATTATCAACGTGGGCCCAGTGGAGTTGAGCGTGGAACTATAAAGGACTGATATGGACCTGGTGTGCAGCCTGCTTTCCTGCCGTCCTCCAGTACTGCTCTCTGGCGAGGAGACTGAGCTGTACACACTGACTGTTGTTAACGGACTCTACGCGACCTGTAATGCATGAATATTCTAGGCGTCTCTATTGTTAACTTAAACCTATCTTAACTTTTCTCGCATTCCCTTATACTCTCCATTGGAGGAATAAAAGTGTATATATATTTTGAGGAAGCCGTGGTGGCTGAGCGACTTATGCTGCTGACTTCGTGTGCTGGCGATCAGGTACCTGACTCTCGGGGTGTGGGTTCGAATTCCGGATGGGACTCAACCCAACAAAAACGTACCAGAGTCTGTACTTTATTGAGAGAATGTAATTCCAAACATAATGTGTGTTACTCTTTTGTCAATGGTCAAGGCCATGTTGACTCAAGTGTTTAGAAATACAGAACGAGATAGGAGGGCAAGGGTGGAGCGGGAGGTATAGCACAAAAACAAGACTGAAATTACAGCTCCGGTTGGCTTAGTCTCCTTGCAGTGTTTTGTTGAACGACAGACAGCGACCAGTTCAAATAATAATGACTCCTGTGAAGGTCCAGTACATTTTGCCAAGGGGAACAACTCACAGCCCACTCAAAATAGTATTGCCCATTTACTATCCGGTTACTATATTAAGTTCTATATCTAATGATATACAACAATACAGTTACACTGTGACATTTTCTATGTGAACTCCTATTATTTCATGGAATTTAGATCTCGGTGCACCAAAACATGTTACAATTTATCATAGCATATCAACCTCGAAAGGCACGGAAATTAGCTTAAGCTCTTCTTTATCGGAAAAATAGTAATTACGAGGGAAAACTACCCTCTACATGTTTTGAAAGACGTTCAACATGAACTCACCAAATCAAGATTCTAGATTACCTCTGCAGAGTCTTTCGTCTTGATGTTTTTAACGCTGTCAGTTCGATTCACACGTCATACCTTAAGTCCCAAAACGAATACAAGTCACTACGGGTTCTTCATGTTCCCTTCACAAGACAAGGTAGCAGCCTCGGCATGAGTCGGTATGATATGTTGTTTTTGTTTCTTTGTTGTTAATCAAAAGTGATAAAACCATTTTCCAAGTTTTTTGACATATGGTGATCTTCCCTTACTCGTTCATTTCAGGAGTTCATCTTAACTGCATAACCAATACGACGCCGTTTCATCTTGACAAATACATGGGTTCATGGACCCGGGTCTAATCCGAACTTATTTGATAATGTTGCGATTAACGCCCAGATTAAACAGTTTATTCATCAAAAGGTGTGGTTGGATTGTGTTGACGGCAGACGAAAAATCAATAAAGAAGATTCTCACATAGTTGTTACAAGTCTCCAGATGAGAGTAAATATTTTCTAGGAGGGTTAATGTTGCGTTCTCCGTCCCACGCCTGGTCTATATGCAAACTGTAAAGGATCTAGCAAATGACTTACATTATCAAGTAACACTTTTTAGATAATCCGTTCTAAACACTTGTTGGCTATCGATGTCAAAGCAACTGGACGATAGTCATTATTTACGGCAGGATTATTCCTGTTCGGAACAGGAATGATATTGGAAGTTTTCCAGAGAGTGGGGATTACAGCTGAACTAATTGACCATTGAAACATCTTCTGAAATATGACACATAGTTGCTCTCTACATTCTTTCAAAACAATACCCGGTAGGTTATCAGGGCCACAAGATTTGCCTACTTTGAGTTGTTTAAATGCCAACAGAACACCACTTCTTGATATTACTATGTCATCAGATGAAGGTAAAGAATACATGTTATTAATATCATTGGTAAAATCATGATTGTCACATCTGGCATAAAACGAATTCAATTCATTAGCAAAAACAAATTATCTTGAACATCAATACACTGTTGTGTTTTTGTTAATCCCAATTACAGATTTAAGTTCCTTGCCAGGCATGTTTCAAATCGTTTGCGGTAAATATTTTTTTTCAATTTTACATTTATATGCATCTTTACATTTTGCTGTTTCACATAAAATACCCCTTTGTATTTCTTTAACTTTGTGAATATTACCTGAACAGAATGCTCGTTTCTTTTCATTCAATAAAGATTTAAACTCCTTTGTGAGCCATGGTTTATTATTAGGGTAAACTTTGATTGTCCTAAGAGGAATAATATTATCAAACAAAACTTAATGAAGTCTGTGGATGCGCTGGTTAGATCGTCCAGAGTATAACATGCTTCATCAAGAGCCTCGTTTTGAGATTTCCACGATTTCCAGGTTTCCGTTTGTCAGAGCTCGCTGTACGACAGAGCACGCTGCACGACGTGTTTGCAAGGATTAGAAGGGGTGTATTGTTGCAATTTACAAGTGCTTGGTAGATATATCAAATAATACTGATTAACATTTATGTATCCAGTTAAATGAATTGGTCTAAAAATTCTGGACTGGTTATAGTACTAACTTGCGTAATAGGACGGAACCCAGTCAACAGGAAACGAGACTGTTGTGTAATCAAGGTTTCCACTTGCGCTGCTTGTGTCACGATGTAGGCGAAAAGTAGGTTAAGGGGCAACCGTGTGCCGAACGAACAATGTAACATATCCACCCACCCACCCCACACACACACCTAACTCTAAGACCTCCTTACCCACTCACAAACACGTACGCAGTTACAATTGTTGTTATATACTTTCACATTAATCAGCAAACATTTCTCGGGAATTGACAGGGGAGCGAGCGATCACCTAGTTCACACGTGATATGCTTGGGAGCTCAACTGGGCGGATGGTGTGACTCATCAGAACAGTAACACAACCATTCTTATGAAGTTCAGATTGACGAAAAACGATTTACTGATTACTGTGATATATGGAATACAATTGGCAATGTTTAACATACCTTTGCACAGATAAATCAAACATTACAAGAGATTTGTGAAACGCTTGTTACTCGGATATTTTACCTGAAAAAAATATATATGTATATACTTTATTTCCCCCGTTGTCATGAAGAGCAGTACACAAAATGAACAACAAAATACAATACTGTCAATCTCCAACGGAAGTCTCCACACGTCACATAGGTTTTCATCACTTCGTTTAATTAGGTTGTACTGTGAATAATGTCAAACAGTTCTAAGACAAAGTAATTTGGATAGCTTCTTAATCCTGCAAGATATTGACCAAGTTTCCATATTTTGTTTCTTCTACTTGTTTTATAATGCCTTTGTCCAAGTTTGAATGTTCGCTTTAAGTGTCTGCTTTGCTTCCTGCT